CTGTGAAAAAGTTCATTGAAATTTTGATAAGAATTGCAATGAATCTGTAGATCACTTGTAATTTTAACAGTATTACTTTTTTTTTTTTTTTTGAGATGGAGTCTCACTCTGTTGCCCAGGCTAGAGTGCAGGGGTGCGATCTCGGCTCACTGCAAGCTCCACCTTCCGGGTTCACACCATTCTCCTGCCTCAGCCTCTGGAGTAGCTGGGACTACAGGCGCCCGCCACCACGCCCACCTAATTTTTTTGGTAATTTTAGTAGAGATGAGGTTTCACCGTGTTAGCCAGGATGGTCTCGATCTCCTGACCTTGTGATCTACCTGCCTTGGCCTCCCAAAGTGCTGGGATTACAGGAGTGAGCCACCATGCCCAGCCCAACAATATTAATTATTTAAATCTGTAAAACATAAATATCTTTCCATTTGTTTGTGTCTTTAATTTTTTATCAATGTTTTAATTTTTAGATTACAGATCTTTTATCCCCCTGGGTATATTTATTTCTAAGGAATTTTTTTTTTTTTAATAGCTATCGTAAGTGGGGTTGTTTTCTTGATTTCTTTCTCAGGTAGCTTTTGTTAGTGTTTAGAAACACTACTTATATTTGTATGTTTACTTTGTATGCTGCAATTTTACAGAATTTATTTATTAGTTCTAAGAGCTTTTTGGTGGAATCTTTAGGATTTTCTACATAGAGGATCATGTAGTCTGCAAACAGACAATTTAACTTTTTCCTTTCTGACTTGAATGGTTTTTTACATCTTTCTCTTGCATAGGCTAGGACTTCCAGTACTCTGTTGAATAGAACTGGTGAGAGTGGGCATCCTTGTCTTATTCCTGATCTTAGAGGAAAAGATTTACTGAGAATGATGTTAGCTATGGGTATGGGTATATGAGCTTTATTGTGTTAAGGTAAGTTTCTTTTATGTCTAATTTGTTGAGAATTTTTAGGATGAAAAGATGTTGAATTTTGTCAAATGTCTTTTCTACATCTATTGAGATGATCATATGACTTTGTCCTTCATTCTGTTAATATGATGTATCACACTTATTGATTTGTATATATTGAACCGTACTTGCATCCCAGGGATAAATCCCAGTTGATCATGGTGAACGATCCTTTCAAAGTGTTGTTGAATTCTGTTTGCCAGTATTTTATTAAGGATTTTTGCATCTATATTTATCAGGGGTGTTGGCCTGTAATTTTCTTTTCTGTAGTGTCCTACTTGGCTTTGGTATCCAGGTAATGCTGGCCTTATAAAATGAGTTTGGAAGTATTCCCTCCTTTTCAATATTTTGGAATAGTTTGAAGATAATTAGTATTAGTGTTCTTTAAATGTTTGATAGAAGTCAGCATTGAAACCATCAGGTCTCAGTGGAAAAGTCTCAAACGTGAGACTTTTTATTACTGATTCAATCTCCTTACTCATTAGTAATCTGTTCAGATTTTTAATTGATTCATGATTTAGTCTTGGCACATTGCATGTGTCTGGAAATTTATTCACTTCTTCTAGGTTATCCAATTTGTTGGCCTACAAATGTTCATAATAGTCTCTCTCTCTTTTTTAGATGGAGTCTTGCTGTGTTGCCCAGGCTGGAGTGCAGTGGCGTGATCTCAGCTCACTGCAAACTCTGCCTCCTGGGTTCATGCCATTCACTCACCTCAGCCTCTCAAGTAGCTGGGACTACAGGTGCCTGTCACCACACCTGGCTAATTTTGTTTTTGTATTTTTAGTACAGATGGGGTTTCACAGTGTTAGCCAGGATGGTCTTGATCTCCTGACCTCGTGATCCACCTGCCTTGGCCTCCCAAAGTGCTGGGATTACAGATGTGAGCCACCGTGCCCTGCCCATAATAGTCTCTTTTAATCTTTCATATTTGTGTGATCCAGTTGTAATGTATCCTCTTTCATTTGTTATTTTATTTATTTTAGTCTTCTCTTTTTTCTTACTGTAGCTAAAGATTTGTCAATTTTATTCCTCTTTTCAAAAAACAAATCTTTGTTTTGTTGATCTTTCTATTGTTCTTCTAGTGTTTATTTCACTTATTTCAGCTCTGATCATTACCTTAGTTTCCTTTCTTCTATTGTCTTTGGGCATAGTTTGTTCTTTTTCTAGTCCTTTGACATGTAATGTGAGGTTGTTTATTTGGGATCTTTCTTTTTCTTTTTTGATGTAGGCATTTGTTGCTCTTAGGATTACTTTTGGTATATTGAACTTCCATTTTCTTTTATCTTAAGATATTAAAACAATTATCCTTTTAATTTCTTCTTTGACCCCTTGTTTAGGAGCATGTTGTTTCATTTCCACATGTTTGTGAATTTCCTAAAATTTCTTCTATTATTAATTTCTAGTTTTACACCATTGGGGTCTGAAATGGTTTCAATCTTCATAAATTTGTTAAGATTTGTTTTGTGGACTAACATATGGTGTATCCTAGAGAATTTTCCATGTGTATGCTCTTGAGAAGAATGGGTATTCTGCTGCTGTTGAATGAAATGTTCTATTTAGGTTGGTGCAAAAGTAATTGTGGTTTTTCCCATTAATGCAGTTACTTTTGCACCAACTTAAAATATGTGTCTGTCAGGTTCATTTGATGTAAAGTATAGTTCAAGCCAATGTTTCCTTATTGATTTTCCATCTGGATGATTTGTCAATTGTTGAGAGTGTAGTTTTGAAATTCCCTACTATTATCATACTGCCATCTCTCTCTCTCTTCAGATCTATTAATATTTGCTTTATATATTAAAGTGGTCTGATGTTGGATACCTATGTATTTATAATTGTTATATCTCCTTGATGTATCAATCCCTTTATATCATTACATAATGACCCTCTTTGTCTCAATTTACAGTTTTTTGGCTTAAATTCTATTTTATCTGTTATAAGTACAGCTATCCTGCTCTCTTTTGGTTTTCATTTGCACGAATATCTTTTTCCATTCTCTCACTTTCAATCTGCGTGTCTTTTTAGGTTAAGTGAATCTCTTGTAGGCAGCATATAGTTGGGTCTTTAAAAAAACTCATAGAACATTCTGTTTTTTGATTGGATATTTTAATCTATTTCCACTCAAGGTAATTCTTGATAGGTAAGGATTTACTACTGCCATTTTGTTAATTGATTTATGGTTGTTCTGTGGAGTTTTTGTTTCTTTCTTCCTCTCTTGCTGTCCTCCTTTGTGATTTGATGATTTTCTGTAGAGGTAGTCTTTGATTTCTTTCTCTTTCTTTTTTGTGTATCTACTACAGGTTTTTGCTTTGTATAAAACATCTTATAATAGGCTGTTTTAAGCCAATAACAACTTAACTTTGCATAAAACAACTCTAGACTTCACCTCCCCACATTTGATGTTATTGATGTCACAATTTGCATCTTTTAATATTGTATATCCTTTATCACATTAATATAACTATATTTCAAAATAATTTTGTCTTTTAACCTTTATACTTACAAAATAAGTAATTTACACATCACCATTACAATGTTAGAGTATTCTGAATTTGACTGTGTACTACATACTTTTACCAGTGAGGTTTTTGCTTTTGTATGTTTTTATGTTACTAATTAGCATACTTTTGTTCAGCTTGAAGAACTCCCTTTAGCATTTCTTGTAAGACAGGTCTGGTGGTGATAAACTCCCTCAACTTTAATTTGCATGGGAAAGTCTTTATCTCTCTTTTGTTTCTAAAGAATAGCTTCTCTGGGTAAAGTATTTTTGGTTGGAAGTTTTTTTTTTCCCCTTCAGCACTTTGAATATCATCCCACTCTCTCCTGGTCTGTAAGGTTTCTGCTGAGAAATCCACTGTTAGCCTTACTGGAACTTCTTTACATGTGATTTGTTTCTTTTCTCTTGCAGCTTTCAGGATCCTCTCTTTGTTTTTGGTTTTTGACAAATTGATTATGTCTCAGGGGTAGCCTTGTTTTGATTGAATCAGATTGGAGATCTTTAACCTTCTTGTACCTGGATATTTATATTGCTTCCCAGGTTTGGAAGATTTTCTGCTATTATTTCTTTAAATAAGTTTCCTTCTCCTTTGTTTCTCTCTTCTTCTTCTTGAACTTCTATAACATAAACATTTGCTCTTTTGATACTCTCCCCAAAGTCCCATATGTTTTCATCATTCTTTTTCACTCTTTTTTCTCCTCTGACTGTATGTTTTCAAATAATCTGTCTTCAAGTTCACAGATTCTTTCTTCTGCTTGATCATTCTGTCACTGATGCTTTCTGTTACATTTTAAAATTTCATTCATTGTATTCTTCTGTGCCAGAATTTGTGTTTTTTTTTTTTTTTTTTTTTTTTTTTTTTTTTAAATTTCAATCTTTCTGTTACATTTCTCATTTTGGTCACTTATTGTTCTTCTGATTTCACTGAATTACTTCTCTGTATTTTTTGAAGTTTGCTGAGCTTCCTAAATTATTTTGAATTTTGAGTTATTTGTTAGTTTTTTTTCATTTCCTTTTTTTTTTTTGAGATGGAGTCTTGCTGTGTCCCCCAGGCTGGAGTGCAGTGGCTTTTTTTCATCTCTTTCTGGTCAATTTTGGGAGATTATTGTGTTCTTTTGTGGCTGATATATCTCCTTGGTTTTACATGTTTCTTGTTGCCTTTCATTGATGTCTGTATATTTGATGGAGTCACCTCTTGCAGACTTTACAGACTATTTTCACTGTGGAAAGACCTTCCCCTACAGGGAGGTAGAAGGGTGCTTGCTGGTGGTGTGCAGTGGTTCTGTCACTAGTGAGGGCATAGCTGTGTAGTCTCTGTGCAGCTGTGTCTTATATTGACATATCTTTCTTTTCCTAGAATAAAACCTACTTGACCAAAGTGTATGAGTTTTTTTTCACTAATTAAGTACTTTATTGAATAAATACAATACCAAATAAAATGCATTCTAAAAAAGTTTTAAAGGCCTTTCTACTCAGGCTAATAACAAACACAACAAAGGCAGATATGCTAGTTTAATATAATTGGCTGATTTTGTACAGCACTTATATCTTTTAGTTCACAAGTATATTATTAAATGATAGAGAACATCTAATACAACCATTTCTACAGAACTAGGAAATAAATTTCTAAGAAAGAAAGATTTTACAGACCCCATCTTTTATACCCACCCCAACAGTCTAACTCTAAAGAGGATAAAGCCAATGACTTTCCTCACAAGAGCTCGCGACTAATGTTGCTTTGCTATCAAAATCTGTATTTCTGATCCGTTATGAGCATTGAGACAAGATTCAAATATTCCTGAAGAAAGAAGTACAATGCACGTTGTGATCACCTATTCAGCAACAGCGAGCACTGCATCCAAAACTCTCATCCCAGGAATTAAATAAGGTCAGCCACATTCATGGACATCCCCTCCACTGCAGTATTGTAGAAAGTCTCAATGTCATGAAGAATCCTCTTGTCTTCTTCAGTAACAAAATTTATAGCCACACCTTTCCTCCCAAATCGACCCCCTCTGCCAAGTCGACTCACTCTTTATTCAAACAGTGTGCTGTTTCACTTATGATTCCACGTCCTAACTTATGTCAGCACCATTTCTGAGTGCCATCTCGTCATCGACTGCTGCTATTGACTCCTGTGAAAATAGTTTTCACGATTGGTAGGTAGATCATAATTTATAACCAAAGACACTTGTTGCACATCATTCCCATGAACCAACAAGTCAGTAGTGATCAGAACATGACTTGACCCTGACTGGAATTTCCTCATGATAACATCTCTCTCCTTCTGGTCCACGTCACCATGCAGAGCAGAAACTGTGAAGTCTCTGGCATGCATTTTCTCAGCCAGCCAGTCCACCTTGCGCCTCGTATTGAGAAAAATAACAGCCTGCATAATGGTCAGTGTCTTGTACAAGTCACAAAGTGTATCCAACTTCCATTCCTCTCTCTCAACATTAATATAAAACTGTTTGATTCCTTCAAGGGTCAATTCTTCCTTTTTCACCAGAATTCGAACGGGATCTCTCATAAATTTTTTGGTCACTTCCAACACATCCGTTGGGCATTGTGGCAGAAAGCAACACAACCTGAATACTTGTGTTTAGTGTTTGGAAAATCTCATAGATTTGATCCTTAAACCCATGGCTCAACATTTCATCTGCTTCATCCAAAACAAACATTTTGATCAATTTTGGAGAAAGATGTCTTCTGTTTAACATATCAAACACTCTCCCGGTGTACCAACAACAATATGTGGTGCTTCAGCCTGCAGTTTTTGCATTTCATTTCGAACATTTGTTCCACCAATGCAGGCATGACAAGTTGCTCCCATATAGTCTCCAAGTGCCAGAATTACCTTTTGGATCTGTTGAGCCAGCTCTCTGGTGGGGGCCAATACTGATGCTTGGGTCTCCTTGAACTCAATCTCCAACTGTTGCAGGATGGAAATAGCAAATGTGGCTGTCTTGCCAGTACCTGACTGAGCTTGAGCAATCACATCATACCCTGAAAAAAGTAGGATACGTATTTACCGATCCCACATCAAATTGTCACTTCTACTTCACACCATGTATTCCATTTGGAACATGCATTATGCCCAAATAATCAAGAGATCAGCAATGAGTATTCTCTTCATTTCAGGTCAGTCCCAAAAGATGATTGCCATCGTTTCACACAGTGTATGATTTTAATATACATTTGTTTTTTCCATCTATCATAAGAAATGAAAACTGTTCTTTTTTGAAATAAGAAAGTTTTGATACTAAGGTGTGTTAGCATCATGAATTGAGGAAATTTCTAATTTTTTTTTCTATGGCGTGGAATACTTTGACTAACATAAAAATTATCCTTATTGGAATGTAAGCTAAAACTAATTTGTAAAATCATTTTGGCCTAGAACACTTTTATAGGGGATGCCATCATTTAGGTATTTTAAGCATTAAAATTAATTTGAACCTAGGCTTCTGGTAAACCTGAAATCTAGGTAATTTATCTCCTCTTTTGAAGACAGCCAGAAAAGTTAAATAAAAAATCTACTTGAAGGTATTAGGACATAATAAAATAGTGAAGAAATACTGGCCCCAAATTTGGCAGAAGTGACAAACCATTTTGGGTTGCTTCTCCTCTCAGAAGAAACTGCCAATTCAGTGTGGGAGGTACTGAGAGGCTGAATGATGCTTTTTTGGAAAGTAATATGTCTTTTATAGTCTGCTTTTGATATTTTCTCTTTTTCTTTCTTTTCTGTAGTTCTACCATGCTATATCCAGGTATGCATTTCTTGTACTTTTTCTGCTTGGGTTTTCAAAGTTTCTTAAATCTGTGCTTGATCTCTTTCAACACTTTGAGCAAATCCTAGGGTGTTATCTCTTCCATGATAATTTGATTCCATTAACATGTATTGTTCAGTTACTGTTTTGCCCCCTCACCCATGTGTTTTCTTTACATATATGAAGAAGGTCAACATATGCCTCAGTCTTTCTTTATCTTCTCTTTCTTTTAGCAGCTTTTCTGATTTTCCCTTATTCTTTTTTTGTCCTCATTATGCCCCCAAATTCTCTATTCTTTTATTCTGGATTCTATCACCCAGCCTATCTTTAGCCCAGTCTAACTAGCTATTAGGCTAATCAATTAAGTGTGTAATTTCAGTTATTTTATTATTATTTAGCTATAGGATTTTTACTTGATTTTCGTCTTAGCCAGGGTTCCCTAGTGATTGGATTCCATTGAATTTTGTGCTCTACAAAAAGATATGGCAAAGCCCCAACCCCCAGTGCCTCAGAATGTGACCTTATTTGAAAATTGGGTCTTTACAGGGGTATTCCGTCAACATGAAGTTATTAAGATGGACCATAATTCCATATGACTGGGGTCCTTCCTTATAGAAAGGGGAAATGTGGACATAGATGGACAGACATACAGGGAAGACGACAGGAAAACATGCAGGTGAGAACGCCGCGTGAAGATGGAGGCAGAGATGGGAGGGATGCGGCCAGAGGCTGAGGAATGTTGGGGGCCGCCAGAAGCTGAAGAATGTTGGGAGCCACCAGAAGCTGGAAGAGGCAGGAAGAATTCTCCTTAGAGGCTGCAGAGGGAGCACAGCCTGGCTGATTGCTTGATTTTGCACTTCGGCTTCCAGAACCGTGGGACAATGAATTCCTGCTGTGTGAAGCCCTCCAGCGGTGGTGCATCCTCATGGCCTCCCTAGGTAACAGATCCCCCTGGAAGGCAGAGTGCCAGGCAAGGACAACGCTCCTGTTTTATTAGAGAGTGAAATCCAGGGGGCGCAGTGAGGAAGAAGGGAAGGGACACAGATATGGCAGAGACAGGGCTGCAGACAAGTGCGACTGATGACCGCTTCTCAGAGACATACCTTCTAAGAGTCTGCAAAACGGCCGGGTGTGGTGGCTTAGGCCTGTAATCCCAGCACTTTGAGAGGCCAAGGCGGGCGGATCACCTGAGGTCAGGAGTTCGAGACCAGCTTGACCAATATGGTGAAACCCCATCTCTACTGAAGAAAATACAAAAGTCAGCGGGACGTAGTGGCGGGTGCCTGTAATCCCAGCTACTCAGGAGGCTGAGGCAGAAGAATCCCTCGAACCCGGGAGTTCGAGGTTGCATTGACCCGAGATCGCGCCATTGCACTCCAGCCTGGGCGAGAGGGAGACCCTGTCGGGGAAAAAAAAAAAAAAAAAAAAAGGCCGTAAAATGACAGACTCTCAGCACATTCTGTTCAGGAGGAGGAATGGGGAATAATTTATTTACCAGCCAGTGCCAAATCCCATTTATCAGGGGTTCACCCCGTGGAGCATGAATACCTCACGTTACTGGGTGGCACAGGCGTGGGTGCTGAGTGAGTCCCGGGGCGTTTCTTGCCTTGTTGGCAACAGGGAAGGACCGAGGTAGGAGACAAGGGGCATTCACCGCAGGCTTGGGGTGAAATGTGCTGCCCACTCCCTGTGGAGTCAGGCATTGCCCACACAGAACGGGTGACCACCGGGGTGGTGGAAGCCAAACAGATGGCTGCTATGGACCGAATGTTTGTGTTCCTCCGACATTCACGTGTTGAAGCCCTAACCCTCAATGGGAGAAAATTAGGCTGAGATGAGATCATGAGAGTGGAGCCGCCATAATAGGAAGGATTAGACCCCTTCTAAGACCAGAGCCCTGGCTCTCCACCATGTGCGGACACAGCAAGAAGCTGGCCATCTGCAAACCCCCAAGAAGGCCCTCACCAGGAAATAAATCTGCCGACACTTTGACTTTGGGCTTGTCAGCCTCCAGAACTGTGCAAAATAAATCTGTTATATAAGCCACCCAGCCTGTGGAATTTTGCTATGGAGCCCTGAGGCGGCCAACACACAGCCAACGGCTCCAGAACAAGGAGACCAAGAGAGTCTGCCCAGGTCTTAAGAGGCACTGGATGTAACTTTCGTTTTTCTTTCTTTCTTCTTCTTTTTTTTTTCTTTTTAACAGTTTTCAGATCTCTGCCAAAATTCTCAAATTTTGTCTTTTTCCTCCATAAACAAAGAATGCATATTTATTTTGAGATCTGTGTATCATAATTTCGTTATCTGGGTGACTGTGGACCATTCTGTTTTGTTTGCCCAAACAGTCCGTCTTGTCTCCTTGTGTGCCTATTGTGTGATAGGGCATCCATTGGCGTATTGTAGAAATACATCAAAATGTAGGAGGCCTCCCTCCAGGTGTGAGATAAATTGGCTCTGTCAGGCACCAGGGGGCACCAGAACTCTATGGTTGCCTTAATCCAGTTTTAGGAAGTGTGATGATTCAAAGGCGCACTTTACTTCCCCAACTCAGCAAGGCTGGAATGCCTCTAGGTTGCCCTTACACCAAGGCCACGAGTCCCCACCCCAAGCAAGAGAGGTCCCAGAGCCTACCTTTGGTGGGTCCTGCACTCCTACCCCTTTCCCTTATGCTTGTAGCTGATTTTCAACAGAAATAAAGGAAGTCAGCAGCATTAGAACCACGTTTTTAGAGTGCTGCAAGAAAAATAGCTGCTAAACTGGGATTTTCTATGAAAAGAAAATATCCTTCAAAACTAAAGATAAAGATATCTTCAGATAGATGTTTGGCATGAGAAGAACTACGCTAAAGAGAATACTTCCAGAACCAATACAATTGGGTTTTGCAAAAAAGAAAATACTAAAAGGTATCTTCAGGTCAAAGGATGAACCCAGGCGAAAGGTTAGAGATGCAGGAAGGCATGAAGTGCAATTAAAAGAGTCAATAGATTGGGAAATCTAAATGAATATTCAACGGGGTGTGGTGGCTCACTCCTGTAATCCCAGCAATTTGGGAGGCTGAGGCAGGAGGATTACCTGAGGTCAGGAGTTCGAGATCAGCCTGACCAACATGGTGAAATCCAATCTCTACCAAAAATACAAAACTAGTGAGGCTTGGTGGCACATGACTGTAATCCCAGCTACTTGGGAGGCTGAGGCAGGAGAATCACTTGAACCCAGGTGGTGGAGGTTGCAGTGAGCCGAGATCGCACCATTGCATTCCAGTCTGGGTAACAAGAGTGAGACTCTGTCTCAAAAATAAATAAAAAAAAATGAATATTCATAGCATAGGACAATGACATCTTGTTGGGTTAAAAATATGAATAGAATGAAAATGTGTGGCAACTTGGCCTATAATTTGTGAGAGAATAGATGGAGTAAAAATGTTGTAAGATTTTTGCATTCTCATAAAAGTACCATTTATTATTAGACTTAGTAAATCCAGAAGCATGTTATAATTAATCTCTAAGGCAACTATTAAAAGAATAATACAAGATTGCATAACTTTCAAGCTCACAGGATAAAAAAATGGAAAAATAATGCCAGGTGCATTGGCTCACACCTATTACTCCAGCACCTTGGGAGGCCAAGACAGGAGGACTGCTTGACGCCAGGAGTTCCAGGAGACCAGCTTGGGCAACATAGTAAGATCCTGTCTCTACAAAAAATTAAAAAAAAAATTAGCTTGGTGTAGTGGTTCATGCCTGTAGTTCTAGCTACTTAGGAGGCTGAATAGGAGGATCGCTGGAGTCCAGGAGTTCGAGGATACAGTGACCCATCTTCATGCCACTGCATTCCTGCTTGGGTAACAGAGTGAAATCCCATCTCAAACCAGACAAGCAAAAATGGAATAAAAATAATTAATTCAAAGTAGATAGCCAAAGAGAAAAAGGAATATAGATCAAGTGAAAGATTGTAAAGAATTATTAAGCCCAAATAGGTCAGTAATTACTAATATATTTTAAACCAAATATATCAGTAATCACATTAAATAAGAATAGCCAGGGACTACTAATGAACATCAAAAAACAGGGATCAGATATATCCTACCACCTGAATCATTCAAAGAATGGACAAAATATATGACATGATGAGAGAATCAGGCACCAAAGGATAGTGATTCTTGAGACATGAGAAATAAATGGGGCAAACCCTATTATTACCCCAGCTTGCTGCCTTGAGAGTTTCTTAGATGGAGCTTGGTGGACTCTC